CGAACCCTGTTTGCTCCCCGAGTATTTCGGCTCCCGGCAGCGACTCACCCCGTCGATCTACGTGGGAGAGTACGCACGAAAAATATTCATTGACCCTTCCGGTATGCGTGACATATGCCGGGGCAATCGTTCCCGCGAAAGAGGGCGAGAGGATGTGCCCGAAAAAAAAATTGGATCTGACGGGCTCCGCAAGTGGTCCATCGCTCTCCCATTTTTGGACCCCGCTCATATCGGTCAGTCCGGTAACGTGCGGAACTAATTGTTTTGCGTCGGGATTGGAGGAGGGCGGTGCAAAAAAGGGGATAAGATGAAATTATTCCGCATTCGCGTCGTCGCAGAATGTTTGAATTTAATTCCTAAAATAATCCCGTTCGTGTCGCTTATTCGTTTGATGCTCCTAAATTTCATGAATATCCTGCATAACCACTGTAATTGGATTTTGGAGGGCTTAATGTGTAACGGAGACGAAGAGTAAATGCAATAAGGGACCGATGATTCCCTTGAATTATGGACCACCGTAGGGGGGGTTTCCTCTCGAGCCAGCTCGGAGTCGCCGAAGGGAGGAAAACGTCGGTTTGCTCTTGAGTTTTTCATGAAAAGGAGGAGCTCGGAAAAACGGCGGAACTTTATCCCGGATACGTTTCATCCGCTGCTGATTAACGGAGTTCGGTAAACATGGCTGCCGGATTAGAAGGAATTGCTTAAAGTCGAATACAGGTAAACTTTCGGAAAAGTCGGAGGGGATAAATTGTTTGATTCCACTACGCGAATAGCTAGGACGAGATTACTTTCAGGATATATTCTTTTGTGTTAGTAAGGACACTTTAGAACGTTTCCAACAGAGTGAACGTTTAAGTACTCGACGCAGTACTTTTCCCAGATTGTATCGAAGAGAAGTGTCGCGAATGGTACATGCAACCTCCGGTAATTCTCGATACATCGATTATGCAGAGGTATTGAAGCATGAAAGAGCACGACGGGACGTCGCCGACGACGTGCACTTGACATTTCTATTCTAAGTACGTACATGTTCGAGAACGTTCCGTGCATGTATAATACGCGCCTCGTTGCGATCGACGTCGACGTCGTATTCTCCCTCAAGAATAAAGGCTTAAGTGGAGAGAAAGTCATCAGCTCGCGATTCAAACGGTCTTAATCCACCTTTGAAATTCACTTCGGATTGAAATGCCACGGAAAATTCGGACATCTAAAGATAGTTGCAAAATGAGAGTTCAGGCAGATTTAAATGCAGGAGAAATACCAATAATTAAAAGTCACTCTTGACGATTTTATAATTACATCCATTTATTTGTGACTCGATCCTTTAACTAGGTTACGATTGAAAAATGAAGGGAATCCACTTTGACATTTTTTACCCGCCCTGCTCTCGTGGAAGTATTTCGCAATCTGTTAAATTCCTCCGTCCCCGTCTTCGTCCTTTTTCTTGATTTCCGCTATTTGGATCAAACTCGGAAACGACCGGCCAAAGCCAAAACGTTAAATCCGGCGGTTCTCCACCTCGGGATTACGGTTAATTCGTGCGACTTCAAAGAGACACGCTAAGAGCACTCGTGCTTTTGCACCTCCGCCTTTTTTTCGCGCCGACAATTAGCGCGGCTGCCGGGATGATTAAACGATCCTGGTTCTGGACTACCCTGGCGTCTCGACTAACCATCCAGGACGATTTCAAGAGGAAGGACTCGGAAGGACTCCCCCGTGCAGGCCTCACTGGTCAGGATTAAAGGTGTGAATGAATTTAACGAAGGCCGGGCTTAATTCGAAAGTATAAGTTGCGAAAGTATAATACCATGTGGAGGCCTAAGTTATGTAGATGTCTGCTACCATTGAAAATATAAAAAAAAAAATACCAATTATTATCTCTCTGAATTTCCACCGATAGGTAACCCTTAAATATAGAAAATCATAGGACGTCGTCAAGCAGGAAACTTGTTAAGCCACGAGACCAAGGAGATCTGCAATCGCTTATTCCCTCTTGCAATTCACGTAACAGCCGATGCCTACTGTTGCAGCGCGAAAGGGCGTCGCTTTATGTGTAAATGGCCTATTATAATGGGCAGTGGAGCGAAATAAACAGCTGATATCAGGAGGTAGAATATTCCGATCCGAGCTCGAGGGAAAATTTTCCCAAGTCGCACGATACGCCAGGAGATACCTTGAAGGAACGCAGAATTCTGTCGCGAGTCAAACCCCGATGATCATTTACCACAGAATCCGTACTTTCTAAGTAACTATCGAGCAAACAACATCTTCACGCCAAAAAAACACTGAAATCATAGATAACCATAAATCATTCCCCGAGCAGTTACCCGCAGAAAACTAATTCACAGTCATAATAAAATGGTTACATCCATGCTTCATACAGTTGGAAATATTTTTCCCGTTTATGCAATCACGGTAAGAACCAAACGTTATTGGCAACCCTCTACAAAAAAGGGTACAAACGTTTCTATTTTCCATGGACACTTTTCAGAGCTCCTATTCTCGAGTTCTTACGGATTTTAAAAATGTTGCGCAGACGCGTCGTTGGTTAATATTTGAAAGCCGTATACGAAACTGTCTATTTGGCATGTCAAAGTGCCTCGAGAATCGGAACATCCATGGTGTGACCCATAACCGCCCATAGCGTTCCATCGGCCGAAGTCGGAGCCGATGCCCATTGCATCGGCACAAAAGGACGTCGCTTTATGTGTAAATGATCCCTGAACGTATATAAACAACCGTGCAGTATCTGCTATCAATGGGCCGATCTGGGTGGCAGGCTCTCCTCCCTCGGAGAATTTTCAAGATAGGCGATGCGCGGTCCCGGGGAGAACAGGAAGAATTTAGCCGCGAGTTGGCCTAATGGTGAGCGACTTGTACGGAGGGAATGCCGGAGGAGAAGTCGGCGAGGAGGAACCCGAGGTCGGCCACGGTGTAGAAGTGCCATAATGGGCCAGGAACGTCCGACGGTTCTCATGGTCAGTTCCTATCCATTATGGCGTCCCACGCCGCTATCGCGGTAGTTAGCGCGCTCGGCCAGTTAGCCGAGCGGAGTTAGCGATGATGCACGACACACGCGATGCGATGCACCGCCGGAATCGCCGGGATATCCCGCGTGCCGAAGCAAACGTAGTAAAGGTAGTAAACGTAGGAAACGGCCCCATCTTGGCTGGAGCCAAGACCATTCGATTTCAAGCGGCCCTCGTGAGCGCCTTTCGCCGTTGCCGAGCAAAACGAGCCTGATGGGATCGATCGGGATACATCTCGAAATTCGACGCGTCCCGATGCGCTTCGTTAGGAAGCAATTAATTACCCTGGGAGCGAAAAGGGAGCCCCCTTCACCCGCGAGGATGCGCCACGACTTTCGCCATCTTGCCGTTTCTCCTGCAAGTGCAACGCCTCGATGCGTCGCTCGCTGCAACTCCAAGATCCGCGGAATTGGGACTGTCGGATCTCCGAGCATTCTTCGGGGAATTCGATCCAGCGAATTAAAGACTTAGCGATCGAAAGAGTAATCGGTTCCTCGCTGGTGTGCGATTGGAACGGCGCGATCGCGGGATGAATGGCGGGATTAAGACGCAGGGCTGAATTGGCCGGTATCTTGCTCGAAATGATACGGGGATTGGTAATGCGCGTCTCGTTCGCGGAAACCATTAGACGAATCACTGATGAGCCAGAGGAGTGGAAAACCGATTGGCACTTATGTTCGGGCGCGGCAGGGGAGATGATTAATTAACGACCGCGGGTCAGACGTTTTATCGCGAGGTGGGAAATGTTTAGGACGATACGAGGGACTTCTCGTTCTTCGTTTTAGAGGACTGAATGCGTGGATTATGGGGCGTTCTGGTCTGCCGAGATAGTCGTGAGTGAGGGGATTCACCCTTGTACGCTGGAACTAATTTCGCTCGGACAAAATTAACCGATCAGCAAAATAATTACGTCTCCGTGGATTATTGCGACGTTAAGAGCGAACGGCCGAGTGCTCGACTGGGTGGCCAGGGTAATTGATACTTCGGAAAGATTTATTAACAAAGTATATCTTGGATATAGAGGTATCGATTCGGCCATTCGCGGAAACGATGTGCTTGGAAGTGGTCGGGGGATAGAACAGTGGGATATTCTAATTGAGGCAACGCTAAGAGCCGGGACCTCGGCTGCTATCTTCAGAGAAAAAGGAAGAGCCAGACTGTGTTTGCAGTTTCGCTGATCGGGGGGAAGAAAAAAGGAAAAAGAAGCCCATGGGGAAAGGTGCGAGCGAGAAGATAGATGGTAGACGCCGGACAAAACTATTCCCGGCAGGTCGGAGTTCCAGCTTCCGCCGGCAGGTGGCGGCACCGGCTGGTGCAGCGGCTTCTGCATATTGCACCAGAAGAAGGGGAAAGTCCGCACGGCGCAGAAGCGCCATGCGGCTGCGGTGCTTACAGAGAAAGGGACCTGCTCTCGCCGATGCAGCTCGGCATTAGAGTACGATGCACCGAGCCGCCAACGTCGCGAATTCTTCGGCTGGGAATTGGCCCCGAGTATTTATTAGTCATTTCAAGGTGCAGACAATTTTGTGGAGTACGTAGAAACCTGTACCGAGAGGTGGCGTTAATCGTTTGAACATTTGTAGAGCTACGTTTAGATAGTTCATATCGATAGACGGTATCTACATGGCAGCGTCTGCTGCTCCTACGGTTTGTTGTAGGACGATAGTACTTGTAAAATATTGATTTCAGGTCAAGCGAGGAATCTAAAGTTTCGGCACGAAAATAAGGTAACCTGCAAGACGGTGTTCGAAAAATTCTACGGTTAGAAGAATATTGCACGAGTTAAGCATTTTCTAAGTATTGAAATTTGGGAAACCAAATTCGTAGGGAAGTGACAAAGAGCGGATTGCTGATTCTCAGAACGAAAATAGTAGAAAAATAGTGGTTGAACAGCTTTTTTTTAACGCGATTTAAAAAGTATTCCTTGGATTCACAATTTTTGTCATTTTTAGAACCTGCCAAACCAGATACAGACGAACTGTTAACGAGGAACAGTCGAAGCGTGGGCCAATTTCGAGCCATAATTGGGATCGGAATTGCGATTCAAAAGTGCAACTTCTAGCACCAATGTCGCACATCCTTCCCTCCCAAGCCGGAACAGACGTCTGGATCAATCGGATTATCCATCGTTAGCGGATGTCGAGACGTCACGTCCGGAACGTTAAGGTCCTGTTTCCGCGGCAATTCCCCGGGGTAATCGAGGTAAGATGAAAGCGGCATCCTTAACGCGTCGAGGACCTTAACCTGGACACTCGGTTAACCTTTCGAGGGAATCGCCTCTCCGTGACTGTCCGGTCAAGTAATTTCCCCCGCAGGAATAAATTTTCCCCTCCGCTGGCAGGAACCGAAAAGAAACAATAGAAAACGAGCATCCCGATGGACGAGACGGGCGAGAGAACGAGATCCAATTTCCGATTTATAATTACCAAACGGAATATTCTACCCGTTCTATCAAGCACCGGAATCAATTCTTTTTCAAACCAAAAAATTGGCCAAACATAATTGTACCATCGTCATCACCTACACGAATACCACTCCACTATGTCGCATCTTATACGGTGTTACAAGCAATGGCATCATTTACCTCGGCTAACAACGATTCTTATAGACGTTTCATAATTATCTAAACATTCCACAACGATTCTTATAAACATTTCATAACCATCCAAACATCCTATCGGCTCGAATTCTCGACGTTATCCAGAGAGATACCCATGGCTGATGGTCGCGGGTGGACTCCATGGTGTTCATTCGGTACCCTACGCCTAGATCGAGTAGCCATTGTTCTAATCACCAGACGAAATATGTCACACGTTCAATCCAAATGCCAGAATCAATTCATTTTCAAACCAAAAAATTGGCCAAGCATCGTTGCATCATCCCTAACATCTATAGAATTACCTTTTTTGCACTATGCTACAGCTTGTACGATGCCATGAAGGTACAATTTTCCTTTAGCCACATTTCTTAGACATTTCATCCTATCCTATCCAATCCAACCTATCCAAACATCCCGTCGGCTCTAATTCTCGACGTTATCCAGGGATACCGTGGCTAATGGTCTCGCGTGGACGACATGACGTGCATTCGTTAGCCTAGACCCAGACCAAGCGGCCTTTGGTGCGGAACTCCCGCGTGCTCGTAGAAGCCATTCCCAGTCGTGGAATTAATTCAAGCGGCGATTAGCCTTTGCGCCCTGGTGAGTTCCGTTAAAGTCGGCGAAGAGACCCGCGCTTCTTTGGCCGTGAGCCCGTCTCGCGTCTCGGGACGCGTAGGTGCGAGACCAGAGCTTACGACAAGTGGGCTCGAATCATGCGAACAGCCGGAAACCTGGTGAACTCACGCCCAGGCACGCGAACTACCCGTTCCACCCTATCGGCGCGTTCCTTCGTCTTGCCCTTCGTACAGTAACTTGAAATAATGGTAGTAGGAGCTAGCCTGTCCGCCCGGTCCTGCCGGTAACACTAGTTGAGCCTTACAAATGCATTCCATGCCCACCGTTAACGGGGAATGGGCGCATAGATACCCCTCGCAATCTGCGCTAATTTCGTTAATTCTGCCATATACTAGGTACTGGGAGGTACGCGGTTCCAGAGATCTCGCCTCGAGTTGGAAAGCTAATTGGAAAAGGGAGATACCGATTTGCTGCAATTTTGAAAACAACGCTTGGGCCTGCTTCCACGTAAGTCGAGGTAAGTTTGTAAATATTTTCAACATTTTTAGAGAGGTGGAGGAGGTACGATAAGGAATTAATTTATGGATCTTTAGGTTTTAGGTGGTATGCTGGTTATCAGGGGGAGAATTATTGCCGGTGGACTACGTTAATGCGAGTTGCTGTACTTTTGCATCGCGGTGCTTCCGTTCCCTCGGCGTTCGACGGCCCTTGTTCTGATCGTTCCTTCATTCATTCGTTCCACGTCTCAGATATTCGAGTAATGTCCTCCCCTGCGCACCTTACACATCCGATCGAGCCCGCGGCGTGCTTAACCCTCCGTTAACGGTGCCCTGTATTTTTCTTCCGAGCTCGCAATTACGCCCCGGCTCTCGAGTATATTTTATTTTGCGCTCCAATTCGATCGCTCGCCCTCGTTCCTATCTGTCATTGCCCTTTCTCCGCCCCGCCCGTTCCCTCGGGTGGCCATTACTCTTCCTTTTCGATAAATTCGACCCGCGAAAGTCCACACCAATCCAGAGATGTCATCGTCCAAAGGTGCCTCTACCTGTTCCTCCTTCTTCTTTCCATCTCCTTTTCTACCTTTCGCGCATACCGCCCCTCGTGCATATTCATTTATTGCACTTGATACGAACTCGATTAACCGGCTTCGTTTTCAATCAAAAATTTCAATCTCGTTTCTCGGTCTGGATTGTCCCAGGGTGTCCCGATCGATGTCAAACCATTTTCCGAAATACCGAAAATGTGTCACTAGCGCGATTACACTTTTTAAGGGTGATTTTATATGAGGAAGTTGTGAAAGTTAGTTAAGTAAGAAATTGGAGCGTTAGAATGCGCCACGATTGATCGTTACTTATTTTTAGGAACGAGGAGGGCGTTTAATTCATTAATGAATAAATTTGGAATTGGTATTATTCCGGATACGTCATGTAGCGTCCTCGACGAATCTGTAATTTCAATTAATCGATCGTGCCCCGCGAGTCGTATATCCTGAATCGCATCAATTTTCTGCAGAACTTGAACTTCCGCTTAGTGGAAATAATTTGAATCTCAATAATCCGCATTTCATGGGTACTTTTCGACAAAAATGGATCACGCCCGCGAGAGAAGGGTTTCCGGACAAATTTCAGCATCCGCCTGCGGAAAATTTATCTCGCGTCATAGGAGTTAAATGTGCGCGAAAATTCGAGCAGAGAGTCCAAATTGAGTCCGAAAAAGTTGCCAAAGTTAAAGAACTCGGCGTACGTTAACAACTGTTACTAAACCTGTAAAGCATCGTTAGATGTACGAGAGAAATGGAAACAAAACCGAAAAACGAAAGTTGCCTTCCAGATAATGAAAAGTAACACCCAACTATCAGCACCTTAATACCTATCCTCACCTTCTGGTATCTCATTCGACTCTTATTCAACAGATTCCCTACCCCAAACTACCCCGAGAAAGTCGTTTATTTTCACACTCCAAGTCCCATTCCACTTTTCATTTTCCCCCAAAATTGCGGAAGCCACCAAACCGGTACTAAATCGGCAACTCTCTTACAAGCCTCGAAGAGGGTCTTTTCCGGAGGAATCGATTCCGAGGCGGCGCTACTTCAAGTCCTTTGCGGCAGTCTCTCTGCTCCTTTTGGCGCCTCTCATTTCATCGTTGAGGCAGGTCGGAAAAATAAAGTTCCAGCAGTCGTCGGCGTGATTCCTCCTGAATTCGAATTCGGCTCCTTCCTCTTGGTCCTCCTTTCCCTTCCTAACTCCTTCTCCGTCGCGACATCATCAAGGTGCGATTATGCGAGGAGTTCTCGGGAGGGACGAGCACCTCTCGGTCCTCAATAATCTCGACACCTTAACTCGAAACGATAGTCGACGAGCGGCCCCGGATATACACCATCGGGCGGTGTCGCACACGAGACATCGCGTGTGGGTCAAGTGGGTGCATCGAGATGCACTCCACGATCCTTCCGCACCTTTATGCTTACCGGAGCTCTCTCTGCCGAGGAAATCTGCGGAAAGAATCTCAGGGCGTCACGTCCCGGTGGAAATCCGACGCCCCTCGACGACCGGATGATTTCGTCCCGGAACCCTCGCCCGAGGATTTCGATCCGACGACGTCATTACCGAGGTAGTTGCCAAGAGGACCCTCCCACCCTGAAGAAAGGACCGGGCGACGAAGAGTGCACCGATCGTTCCGCCGATAGGAATCCACCCAAGAGGAATTATTCCATCAAAATATTAATTCGATCAAACTGGGGCGCGGTATCGATGTACCGTGGCAGGAATTTCGAAATTAACTCGTATAATTGGCTTAACAGAAATGCAATTCTCCCGACCAAATGAGGTCGGGTACCAGCGAACTTGATTTAGGTTAGAGAGAGCGGGTCGAATCGACAAGGTTCTCCACTTTTGATAAAATCGGTTGTTATTACTTTTTGCAGTTTAAAGTCTGGATAAAGGGTAGCTTCCGCGCGGAGAAAAATGTATTTCCCACGAATACAAGTGCTCCGAAGTTCGCCGCGCCGTAACTAATTCCGTTCTACATAGTATTAAGAGGCTCGCCTCTCTCCCCGATGTCACGAGTGTTTAATGCCGCATTTTATCTACCACCGGGTCTTTGGGAGAGCGGTTCTCGGGTCTTAATAAACTCATTCGTCTGGCTGTCCATCCATTCAGCTTGCCAAAAAGGCCCATACATAATGCAGAGTTATGATTAATGTCGGGCGACATAATGCCCGGCCACGCCGCTTCCGAGTCCGCCCGCTGTCAATGGCAGGGGCCCTTTTTTAGCGGCCATCGCACGGTTCCTAATAGCATCAATTTGTTACGTTTTTCGTCGGTACCGTCGCATTAGAGACGCAGGGACATCTCGCACCGGAAGTGACATCGCTTGCACGTTTCAACGGGGCATTTGTCTCCGTACCTCGGGGCCATTTCCCCTGAAGAGCCGATCGCCCCCAAAGAAAATCTCTCACTACCCCCGCGAGACTTTGGTAATAAATTACGGACAGCCATATATTAATTAATTACGCCCCCTAATGAATGGGGGAAGTTTAAAACTTCCGCCGTATTTTAACACGATAATCACTTATCGTTTGTCCTCATCGTTCCAGGCTACTGCACGACTCGTCCAAGTATCGACCTATCCTTGCTTCTGATTTTTATTTTTATCGCTCTTCTATTAATCCCTGAGGGGAAAATTTATGAAATATTGTTGACGGGCCCTCGTTCGTTTAATTATCGGCACCAGCTTCGGGGAGGCTTTTCATGGCCGCTCGTAAAGTTTCGGACGTTATGCGAAGAAATTTCATTTCCTGCGTCGCTTTGAATAGGAGGAACTTGTAATTTTGACGTAACGTATATCATACACCGCTGTATATACTGCCACCTCGTGCATCTAATTTTCTAACTTTCGTTCCCTGGAAAGGTTCCTTTTTCTTTCAATTACTTAGCTTGGTCGAGCTAAATGGGACACCCTGAATGCCTATATAAAATGCAATAAGCGTTCTACGGAAGACGTTGGGAATCTGGGTTAACGAGTTGGCCGACGGGCCACAATTAATTTCCTCGGTACCACCGGCGGTACGACTTCGAAACGCGCGATTATCGTTACGGGAATTATAATAATTAGTCCGAGATGTCGCGGACAAGTGGGACCCCGACGAGTTTCGACTTCTAACCACTCGTTCCTCTGTGTGCGGTTCCATTTCGCGTCCGCCTGCATCCGCTTGCATTCGCTTGCGTTTGCGTGCAACGCCGCTGCAATGGACCACCCATAAGGAAGAGGTGTGATCGCGCCAACTGGGAAACTCGGCGGAAGTGACTTTGCGACCTGCTCTCCGGACAACTCTATCAGACTAAACTCGCGATTCCAGTCGAGTAACCCGTGGCTAGCAATGCACCGACCAACTACGCCGGTGGCGGTAATAATCATTCGTTATTCCGCTTCAACTTGCGAGGCGCCTTGTGTCCATCGATGTACTGCCGAGAATCGCGGATTAATTCATGAGCCAACTAGAACTCGGTCAATAACCGAAATTACCCCAAGAAATAAGAGAGCGCCATGCCGGAACTTCGTTAAGACCCATGTTCCTAATTTACATAAAATTGGAATTTCTGTATGAAAATATGCCTTATTAAAAATTCAAGTTGATCATCCGAATTTTAATTCCAGCCGACGCTAAAGACGACCATTTTAATTAGAATCAATTACCAGGTATACCTTTCGAAGACATCAATTTTAATTCCAGGAACTGATACTATCTCATTTGGACCGGATATGCATTTGCGTTCCAGGGACGATTCGTCCCTCGCTCCTCCAATTTGGGCCTGACCTAACGCAACAGAATTGCGTTTTTTGCCTCGTTCGGCAGACTTTTTTACTCTCCCACGAGTCTTTCCTCCCTCTCCGTACTATGTCTTTCCTCCTCGTTTCCTACGAGACGGAAAAGAAATACTCGCTTGATGCGCGCGTACCATTGACTTTGGGCGTTGCGCGCAATGATGAAATTTTAATAAAGCCGTACTCACGTACAGGACGCGTCCCTTTCCATCCTAGATATGCTCGACTTCGAATGCACTTACCTGTAACAAAAGAAAATATGTGTTACAAAGGGCCCCGCGTACGAATGAAATGCACGCGAGCAATCGGGATGCAGCTCGCGCCTAGCGTATCAGTACCGCGCCGTGCATTTTCGAGGGAGAAGAAAAAGCCTCGCAATGTAGAAATGGATTTCCTAATGTCGCAGTCAGAGAAACGCTTCCGATTCGAAGTACGACAAGGAACGAAGCAAGCGGCAAAAACGCGAAAACAATACTTAAAACAAGCACGCAATTGCGAAGGATGGAGACGTAACCCAATCCCGATTGCTCATCGAAGGGTAGTGGGGATATCGTATCAATTTCCCTGACACTGAAAGAAGAAAAGAAAGGAGGGTGAAACAGGCTTTCCGCTACATTAAAGTCAGCTGCCTGCGTTCCCACATAAATTGGGTTTAAGTGGTTTTCTGTCTTGCGTCGTTCTGACGGCTCCTCGAAAAGTTAAATGCCAAGAAGCCGGTATTAAATTCTACCCCTGCGTTAAAATCCCACTTGTTTTCGGCAGCATTCAATATCTGACTCTCGACAAAAGTTTAATAACAATTAAAAAGCTCCACTGAGTAACAACTGCAGGAAGAGCTCGTAAACGCAATTTCAAGAGGACTCCTTTCGATGCATCCTCGTCACTCGAAGTAACCATGTTTTCCTAATTGACGACCAACGTCCTACGTGCTGGTGAACAATAAAACAAGTGCATTGTACACTTCCCAGAGAAGAGCCACCCGCGACACGATTCGCTACAATCGCGCGTAATTATCTGGAGCTGGGGCAATGTGCTCCGATAACAAGCCAATTTGCAGCAATACTTCCGTATGAAATAAAGCCGCGACCATGACAATTACAAATTCCTAAGCAAAGGATATTTAGTGTTTCGTCGTCATTACGCGGTTAGCTGTAATAACAAAGAGGTAAACTTACGAAAAAATGAAAGGTCGCGACGTGATTATTTCGTGGCATGCCGAACTCTCTCTTATTGTCCGCATTTAATTATAAATTGTTACATTTTTTACTATTTTCTTTTCCACTGCTCTTGCGTTTTTTCGTGGGAGGCTGAAGTGCCCAGCGAATCTGGCAGTTCCCTAAACGCTGAATGGTTCTGAATAGTTTTTCGGCCATTCGCGACATGCTTTTCAGGAACCTCGAGGACCAGTCGACGGAAGACACGAGCCCTGCATCGCGTCATAAATTTCTGCAGAGAGTCGGTGAAACGAGAGCGACGTTACCGGCG